TTTACTTCTTTCTTTCGTGATCGGAAGACGTTTATTAAAAATACAGCTGTAAATTGAAACCACTGTAGTTGCGTATCGTGAGCAATAAGTGGCAACAATGTCGGGCGACAATGAATTCAAGCGATTGACACATTGCCATGAATACACTTGATAACTGCTTGTAGACTTGCAATGGACATTGTTTATGTTTGGACTGTTGAAACAATAGCAAAATAAAGGGTTGGGCAACTACTCTTTTGTTTAGGCTTGGGAAGAACAATGCAAGCTTTTTACAAATAATTTCAGCTGGAAGTACGTTGGTGGGCGAGTGTTGAGAGTTACTGGGCGGCCGTAAAACTTGATGGGCGGGCCGCCCGCCTAAAACCCCTTGTGGAGAACACTGACTACCCTTCAAACCGAGGTCATCATTCCGATAAACCACATTAGTTCTCGGAGGGACACGAAGGGAAAGCTGACTAGGTGTTCTGATAGTTTGCTTAGTGCTAGGCAATGCACTTAAAATAGCTATACTAAGTCTAACTCTGTGTCAAACTCCATGCCTAAGAACACCAACTGTTGCGTTGGGTCTAGTTGAGATTTACTAAAGAGCCCAACTGGTGAAGTAAATCCTGTGTTTGGCTAATAACCCCTTTTCTGGGTTGTGTAGTAACCAGTCGTCTAGGTATGGATTGAGGTGTACTGACATTTAGTGAAGCAGCAGCACTACCTGTTTCATCACTCTGGTGAACATTTAGGGCGCTGTGCATAACCCGAAGGAGAGTACCATAAATTCAAACACTGGGCGATTCGAAGAAGATAGCAAACTCGTCGGGTGCATCGGTATGTTCAGGTAAGCCCGCTGAAGTCTAGAGGGGCTCACCAGTCGAAACGGTGGGTGGAGAGAAGAACCCTGAATAGCATCTCCATGCGGAATCGATCGAGGAGCACGTACTGATTCAGTCTGCCTAGGTCCAGAACTGGACATCCGCCACCTGTAGATTCGGTACTACGAACACATTTGGGTAGAAGCCTGGACTTAATGCCAGCTGATCTACCCTGTGTATGGCGCTCTTTTGCAGCAAACTGCTACTTCCTGTCTGATTGCTTCCACCTTGTGGGGGTCTCCTGGCAGTCCCCAATAGGGGATGGGGGGATGGAGCAGTATCCCATAACCATAAGTCACCACCTGGAAAGTCCAGGGATCCTTCACCCACTGCCTCCAAATTGTACTACACTGGCACAATCTGTGTATAACAGGGATATGTGGCCATGTGACCTGGCCACTCGCCGAACACATGCCTGCCCCCCCCCCCCACCGGTCACAGAGGTAAGCGTCAAATATGCTTCCACCACTACTGGGCTGAACGAGCACCCAAGGTTGCTTTGGATCCCGACGCCCGTGATCCCATAAGCATTGAAGCAACTGTAAGTGATTGCCTTAGGATCAAGGGTGGGGGTATTTACATCGCATCACTAGAATCTATGATACTCTGCATCATCCGAATGGCGTCGCTCACCGAGTTGTTACGGATGGAAGCATCTTAGGGACCGCCCGAGGTACTGGCTGTATCCAATGCGAGCGAACTGTCTCCTTTCCACTTAAATATGGGAGATAGAGCTTGTTTGACTGTGCATCTCATGACATGGTCGGTTCCCTCTGGGGACACCTGTGGGTCGGTAAGGAGGGAGTCAAAACCCACAGTGGAGTGGGTAAATTCCTTACCGTTGTACCATTATCGCTAGACGAACCCTGGCTGGCTGAAATTAGGGCGGAGGTGCGTTATGTGCCCTGATCCGAAATCGGAGGCTTGGCTGCCAGCATCCCAGTTGGCATTCAGTGCCCGAGGCCCCAGATGAGACCTGGTGTGACTAGCCTGAGTCAGCAGGAGACCCGAGGCTGGGAACGGGGGTTCCATGGAAGAGACATGTTGAATGCAAGCGATGCTTTCATGTTTCTTCCTGCTTGCCCACTGAGGAGCCACAGTGGAGACAACTCACTCCGACTGCATCTGATCTACCCAGCCTGCCAGGGATGCAGCAATTTGCTCCGACAGTCCTTCGACCAAAGCCCTCACCTCAGAGGCAAACCCGGCGCCGTGCGAGGAAGGATTCACAAAGAGACCACAACGAGCCCCATTGGAGGAAAAACCTCCAGGAGCATGGCCTCGCTGTAGCAGGTAAAATCGGGTAAACCACCGTCTGAAAACACAGACTTTGATGATGTCCTATCGGCGGGGGGATAGCGAAAAATTATTGGTACCTCCACCATCGGGCCTCCTACTTGACGTCTCAGTACAAAAAGTACCTGTAGCTGAGTGTGAGGACATTCCACTCATGCGAAACACGCAATTCACTTTAACCAATTTTTTTCTGGACGCGCGACCTTGCTGTGAAAATACGAGTGACGCTGTCAGTTTTTGATGATATCTCAGGCTTCAGAACTCTAGTGAAAAACACACGCATTCAAGGCAAAAAATCCGAAACCCGAACCCCGCATGCAGCCACGGCAAAAGCATTTCAGATGCAGGTTCTATGCTGGTAAATTCTGAATATAACCACTGCACAGTCGTCTCGAAAAAATGGCAGCGAGCTTCTGGTGCTGTCATTACATCTATTCATTTCTAAATGCATAGATCAAGCATAAAAAGCGGACGACACGCATGAGGGAAGCGAATTACAGTTGGAAAAGGAGACGCAACAAAATCAATGAGTGATTAAGCTACGACACCCAGGTTTTATTAGTTCCCGTTCGGACGTAATCCGAAAACGGGGACTTGTGTTTTGCCCTGTGTGCGGCCCGTGTGTCCGTGCGTCTGTGATCACCTGTATCTCGAACATGCACGGACCGATTAAGTTCAAACTTCACTCATACATCACACATTATATGTGACATATGCACATGCATTTTGTTCATGATCAGATTAACGATAGCCGAATAGCGGCTATTTTAATGCCGAAAATGCATCAAAATTGCACATTTTCACCATTCCGGACCTGGATCTCAGTTATGCATGGACGGATTTTGTTCAAATTTGGTACATACATTAAACATAATAGGACCTTGATGCACGTCATTTTTTTCGGATCTAGTTCGAAATGGCCGACTGGCGGCCATTTTGTTTTAAAGAATTCAGTTCTGAATCCGTATCCGAGACATGTCTGGATTGATCAAGTTCAAACTTCACACACACATGGTACATCATGTCACAAATAGATATGTGCATTTGTTTCATGATCCGCTTAACAATAGCTGAATGATGGCCATTTTAATGCCGAAAATGCATCAAAATCACGTATTTTCACAATTCCGGAACCGGATCTCAGTCATGCATGGATGGATTTTGTTCAGATTTAGTACAATGTGTTGTACATATGCAGGTGCATTTCGGATCAGACCACTGAAAGTGGTCTGAGATTTCGGTCATGATCTGCTTTGGACGTGTCATTGACAATGACTTGTTTCTTTTATTTCTGTGAAAAATTATACACACAAAGGGGGTAAAAACTTATTCTACCAGCTACAATGTCGGATGCCGTGGCAACAACCCAAGCTAGAAACCCGAACAGGAAAAAGCAAGCTATCCAGCAAAGCTAAGCTTCATCCCTGCTCGATGCGGAGAAAAAGAAGAGTGATTAGCCAGCTGTAATGGCGCCGCCATATGGCCTCGGTCACGCTGTTCGTGACGTAAGGAAAAAGAATCTTGTGGTCATGGGCTTCCCCTGACCTAGATTCTATCTCTCCGTCATTGGCATAATTGCTGATTAATGCCTACAGTTCAAAATAGTCATTTTGACTGACCGGAGTCTATGGTGGGTAATTGAATGTAGTGAATTTTACATTGACAACATATACGCAAGGTGATGTAATTGTTGAAATATAAATTATATATATATATATATACACACACACTGGAAATAATCATTTAAATGTTCTTAACAATCACGATGTGCACATGATGTGTACTCGATAAGTCCTTACCTGGCCCCGTCTATTCTTTCTTCAATTGTGGTTGGTTGTTTCGACTTACTAAATCTTGGTCCCATCTTCCAGCCCTCAGTTGAGTGTGCTTCCAAGATATAAACCAAAATAATCTCCGCTTTATCTTTATAATCCATGTAGAGGGCGTGTAGTGCACCACCATGTACAATGCCCTGGTACAAAAAGAAGGGGAAAGTTAATTATGAGTTAATTTGGTAGTATGTGATTTTTTGTTGGACCTCGTTTAAGTAAAACTACTGTGGGTCTGGGCGGAGTTGGCATGTTGTTGCGTGGACTACTAAAAAGTGTACTGCTACTAGTAAATTAATGCTTTGCGAAACTACTACGCTTTCTAAAACGTATCAATACTGATTAAGGTATAGATGCAGGTTCGTGGGCACTTGAGAGTGAATTTTCTTTTTTTTTTTGCTTTTTATTATCCAAACAGTTTTGGCTATAGACTGTTAAAATTTCACAGCATTGTGAATAGTGGAACATACTCAAAAGTCGATTTTAAAATATAGAAAACTGGTAC